ACAACCGATGCGACAGTTGTTGGTGCTGTTGCTGAGGCAGCTGATGCACTGGTACCGGCTGCTGCTGCGCCTGGTTGTTCAACTGACTCTGCAGCTGCATTACCTGTTGTTGTAGCTGTTGCACCAACAGTGATGTCTCACTCTGAGGCTGTTGTACCTGCTGGTTTCCCCTTGATCTCTCATTTTGTCGACCTTGGCGTCTTGGACGCTGGGCCCTGTTTTGGCTCACTTGCGTCCTTTGGCGAGCTGTTCGTCTCCGTCCACGCACAACATTCGCGTCATCATCTTGGTCATCGGCCTCCTCCTCACCTTCCTCAGGGACAACCTCAACCTGTAACCTGAACCTCTGTCGACGCCTTAACCTTCGTGTGGCGACTGGATCGGTACCATTAGGCGGACTCTCGAGACGGACTACTGACCAAAACTGAGACATAGGGTTGGCTGAAGTACTCAAAATACCCTGTTCCGTTTGTGGTTCACCTTGCCCTTCATTCAAAGTCGTTGTCACATTGGTCACTGCCACTGTACTGCTTGGAACATCACCTTCCGTGGCCTGGTTCTCAACAGTTTCAGGTTCAATGATGATCCCTCCGCGTCTTTGGGCACCAGATGTTAGCATGCCAGGAATGTCCCCACTAACCATAACTTCACAATGACCATACGGGCCCTCCATTTGCCGCTGAGCATCTCCCATGCTTAGAATCTCATACGTCCCAACACCTCCCGACCCACCTGAAGCATCCAGCTCTTGCTCACCTTCATCTAGTTCTGGTTCATCACAATCACAATCGTCGTCCGACGTGCCCTCCTCCACATCTTCCCCGCCCCCGTTTTCCACCTCCGCACGATCCGCAGTCACATGTGCGCTACCGTTCGCCGTTGCATCGGGCCCATCTGTTACCTGAATGTCTTGCTCTTCCATTTCCCCTCCTTCACTTTCCCCTTCGGAATTATCACTTTCCACGCTCGGACCTTCCTCAATGTCTTCGATTTCAACCACCCACTCAGCAGGTGGGGTTGAACCACGTTCCCTAGCAATGCCTGGAACGTCTCTCTGTCCCCTCTGCTGCTCCCCTCCAGTTTGCACCTCCCTTCCCTGTTCTTGCTCCCCACCTCTCTGCACCCGCCCCCCCCTCTGTTCCCACCCTCCACTATGGAACTCCCCTCCCCTCTGTTCTCCCCCCCCTCTCTGCACCTCTCCGCCCCTTTGCTGCCCCCCTCTTGTCAGCACATCCCCTTCCATCTGCAGCCCCCTCCTATCTGAGCCTCCCCTCCCCTCCGCTGTACCCCTTCTCTCTGCACCTCCCCTCCCCTTACCCTATGGTGCTCCCCTCCCCTTTGTTCCTCCCTTCCCCTCTGCTGCTCCCCTCCTCTGTGCTGCTCCCCTCCTCTGTGCTGCTCCCCTCCTCTGTGCTGCTCCCCTCCTCTGTGCTGCTCCCCTCCTCTATGTTGCTCCCCTCCTCTGTGCTGCTCCCCTCCTCTGTCCTGCTCCCCTCCTCTGTGCTCCTCCCCTCTTCTCTGCTGCTCCCCTTCTCTTTGCTGCTACCCCACTCTCTGATGCTCCCCTCCCCTTTGTTGTTCTCCTCTTCTCCCCTCCACCCCCCCTCGATGCTGTCCACGTTGACAATCATCCCGCAGCCTGTGTCGACGGCCACATGCAATACACGCTTGATAACTTCCTCCAACACGTGGAACCACACTTGTTTGCAGCGTGATATGATCTTCCACTGACCTATTGGCCCAAAGTGCTCTTGCCTCTTCGCGTTCTTCGCATGTTCGACTGTTGTGCCCCTTAACCTTACACCTACCACATTTTCGCAGTTTTTCAGGGTTGATCTCGCCTCTTGAGCGGATGCGCTTTGTTTTCCTCCGCCCTGGCCTTTTCTTGTACTTCGGAGGGAGCGTAATTCTGTCCGGAATGCACGACGAAGGATCCACCGGAACCAACTCCTCTGAATACATTGCCTTCAGCGTCTCCACCTTGTAGACGCGGTGAACCATGTCAAACGGCAGCCGACCCTCTCCGGAAGCAGCACAGATGTGGACACAGGGAAGCCCGTACTCCCTGTTGTGTTGAAGAGTGTGTGAATGGCATTGTTAATGAACACTATGCATGTGTAGATGCAGCAACTGACATTACCAGATAAAAAACATACACTATGTTGATGAACGTTAGAAGATTAGTGACGGCAATACTTGTGCACATACAATGTGCGTACCTGCTGTAGTTGCACGTGCACGTCTTGGCTTGCAAGTCCACAATTCGCTCTTCATTACGCTCCTCATGCTCGGCCAGCCAGCGGTGTGACGCTTGATTAAGCTGGCGCACAGAGTAGCTAGAAGAATCATTGAAGTTGCCTCGCACAACCTCAGTGGCAGTTGTGCACCACTCCCCCACGGTGTTGGAGTATGCCGTAAGCCGATCACTCCGAATGAGAGCAAGTTTTAGCGCCCAACGCAAAATGACATAGCCAATTGCCTTGTTTCGCAGCTGTGACATTGAGGCATGCTGCGACTCAACAGGATTTGACGTGAGGCAACCAAACCGAGCACCAGGAAACTTTGCAGTTGCCCATCGCGTGGCCAGCTGGCCGTCTTCCCCTTCCAAATATAATCGGCCACCGGGACATTGCTCATTGAGCTTGTTCATCCGAAACTCATACAGTTGCTCCGTCAATGTCTCTGAGGCGTCTCGGATGAGCTGGCTCAAGTCCATGCCGAACTTGGCCCTGAAATTGCGTGTCAGGTGTGTCACGCAATAAGAGACACGTGCATTGGGGAGCACGTCTCGACATGCAGCATCCCATCCTTTTGCACGGTCGTGTTTCACTGTCCATGCCGGTGTGTTCAGCTCTGGGAAGACACGAAGTAGCTCCTTCAATGGTAAAGAGCAGCCCTCTTTACTCTCAAACTCAACAAAAGCAATGCCAACTGACACGTAGTGACCCTCTCCGTCAAGCACTACCAGATTGATAGTGTGACCTCCCCACACTGTCTTATTGTGGCAGCCATCCACAATCAAGATAGGTATGGCGTTCAGCATGGTGGATCTCGCCACACTCGGAATCACAGAGGCACTAAAAAACCGACCTGCATGCTTGCTAAGGGTAACCAAAGTTCCAGGGTTGTTATCCACTAGTCTCTCCATGATGCTCTTGACAAACTGATATGATTTCTCAGTTTGCAAAGGGTCATTCTCCTTCAGGTCGTTCAAGGCACGCCACGCTGTGGCATACGAAGTCTTTGCCCCAAGACGATGCAAGGCTTCATTTTGTAAAGCCTTTGGGGTGATGCCAACTGTTGGCAGTGACATTGCTAGTGCGATGAGGCTTTTCCTACGTGCAGGGCGAGGGCGAGCGGTACAACGGGTATGGTGTTCTAAGTGAGTGTTACAAACACGCAGGTCGCCCTCGCTTGTGGCCCGAATGTTAATCTTGAAAGGGCAGCGAATGTCATTCTGGACACTCCCCCTCTGCGACCGCTTAAAAGCAGACGGGCACTTGACATCCAACCTTTTCGGACCATTGACAGCGAAGATGTGTGGCACCTTTGCACGATGGCATTGGCGCTCAATGTCATCTCGAGCCTCAATGGCGTCTCGGTAACGCTTACCGATTTCAAAATCCAATGTGCGTTTACCACCACTAGCCATCTGCAAGAGCATTGGGATGGAAGAAGGGTGGAGGAGGGAATACACAAAGGTAAGAAAAAAGAGGAATGCACATACTCAGAGGATGAACGGTCGCACACTGGCGGTCACTCTTTAGTTGCTCATTGATTATGAGTCCATTACCCTAAACAGAAATTTCGAGTTTAAACCATCTGGAGACTTGATCTTTGTTGAATCAACAATCTATCACACCTGATCCTGAATCGTGGCTTCGTTAAGTTGATGCCAGCGGCCTAACGTGCCGGCATTACTGAGTCACGAGACGGTGGGAGTGTCACGTTCCTAGAGAATTTTATTACTAGCTAATTAAGCAAGAAGGAAATTACCATAGACAGTAACGCTGGCGAGTCCTTTATGATAGCGCACCGCAAATGTTGGAAACCAGCTGAGTCAGACTATTAGTAACTGTCATCGTGAACTGTATCTAACTTTGGACTTAGTAGTGTAAGTTCCTGCTATGAGCCTCTAAGGAGGGGTCCCTTACGTGTAAGATCTCGTAACGTAGGATTAGGGTTTCCGTGTTGTGTTCTGGTAACATCAGGGCCCAGCACTTGTTGGATAGAAGGGAGAAGAGGGTGGGGGAGGGGGGGGTGGGGAAAGGAACTTGCGCGTAGATTTTGCGCATGCATCCCTCCCTTGGGGGTGGCTGCGACTGGTGTGGTTGGACGACGGGTTCGTGCGAGAGCTGGGCCTGTTGGTGTAAGTCGCGTGGGTTGCATCCCCTGACAGAACAGTGTTTTTAGTGGCGGATGGGTACAAACAGTGGCAACAAGGGGAGAATCACGACGCGATAGCATGCACCTGAGAAGCCTTTCCCTACAGTGCGGCATGCACCTGAAAATGGCCGTTTTTAGCTAGCTGCGAATTGACGAAACTTATGCGAAATGCTCGTGACAGCTTATACGCCCCCTTCGTAAGGCAACCGGGAGGGGCTCAAACAGGCATCAGGTGTAGCTTCGACATAGAGTGCTCAACAGAAGAAACACGTGGTGGACCCAACCCATACAGTGACAAAGTACTTCCAGACAAGCTGTATGGTCACCTCATCTCACACCTCAGAATTTGTGTTACATGAGATGAGATTAAACTTTCCCAAAAGCTTATTGCATTCATACCTAGTGCAATGATTCGCCACAACACCAACAAACAAAACAGAGAAGCACACAAACCACAGTGCACATTGTCAATGGAAAGATTGCTAGAAACACCACAGCTTCAAGCACTGCCATTGCAGAACTCATGATGAATGTAGCAGCCCTGCCTACGGCTGCAAAAAGTCTCGTAGCTGTTTCTGTCTTCGTCACCAGCAGCAGCCCCACGCCTCTCATAAAGCGCATCCCTTGTTGTTGTCTTGCTATGGCAGCACAGACCACATATGTTCTCAAAGCCATAGACGTTGCCGTTGCTGCTGCAGTAATGAAAAAAGAACCCTGCCATCAACCCATACCCTGTTTCACACCCATGCCATCCCATGTGGCCCACCCATCCCATGCTTCCTGCCCATACTGCGTGTGCTTCCACAGTGAGCGCACGAGACAGGACCTGCACCGTTACACCCTGCAGATCGCTGTGCCAAGTGAGCACAAGAGAACGAAACCGTGTGATGCATAAACCCTTCATTATATGTTCCTGGAAAACATCCGATGCTGGGAAACATGAAGCAACAACAAGCAATCAGAACAGCTTTCCTTGTCAATTGAGGCGGTTGGCACGTGCATTGCTGACCCTGCTAGCCCTGCTAGCCCTGCTCGCCCTACTTGCACGGCTGGCGCGGCTGGCACTGCTGCTGTTGCTGTGGGCACTGAGCTTGCTGTGAATGAAGCCGATGCCGTGAAAGAGGCCCACACGAGGCTCACCGTCACCACCGTTGCCGTCACCCCCTCCATTGCAGCAGCAGCAGCAGCAGCAGCAGCAACAGCCATTGCTGTTGCCATTGCCGTTGCCATTCCCATTCCCGTTCCCATTGCCATTGCCGTTGCCGTTCGCAGCAGCAGCAGCAGCAGCAGCCATTGCCGCAGTTCCCATTCCCGTTGCCATTTCCATTCCCGTTGCCATTCCCATTGCCGTTGCCATTCCCATTGCCATTCCCATTCCCATTGCCGTTGCCATTGCCGTTGCCATTGCCATTGCCAGTGCAGCAGCAGCCATTGCCGTTGCCATTGCCATCCCCGTTGCCATTCCCATTGCCATTCCCGTTCCCATTGCCATTGCCGTTGCCATTGCTGTTGCAGCAGCAGCAGCCGCAGCAGCCATTGCCGCCATTCCCATTCCCGTTGCCATTCCCATTGCCGTTGCCATTCCCATTGCCGTTGCCATTGCCATTCCCATTGCCGTTGCCATTGCCATTGCCGTTGCAGCAGCAGCAGCAGCCATTGCCGTTGCCGTTACCATTCCCGTTGCCATTCCCATTCCCGTTGCCATTGCCATTTCCGTTGCCGTTGCCGTTACCATTGCCATTGCCATTGCCGTTGCAGCAGCAGCCATTGCCATTGCCATTCCCATTGCCATTCCCATTGCTGTTGCCATTGCCATTGCCATTGCCATTGCCATTGCCATTGCCGTTGCAGCAGCAGCAGCAGCCGTTGCCGTTGCCATTCCCATTGCCATTGCCATTGCGATTCCCATTCCCATTCCCATTGCCGTTGCAGCAGCAGCAGCAGCAGTTGCCGTTGCCATTGCCGTTGCCGTTGCCATTGCCGTTGCAGCAGCAGCCATTGCCGTTGCCATTGCCATTCCCGTTGCCATTCCCATTGCCGTTGCCATTGCCATTCCCATTCCCATTCCCATTGCCATTGCCGTTGCAGCAGCAGCAGCAGCAGCAGCAGCAGTTGCCGTTGCCATTGCCATTCCCGTTGCCATTTCCATTGCCGTTGCCATTTCCATTGCCGTTGCCATTGCCGTTGCAGCAGCAGCCATTGCCGTTGCCATTGCCATTCCCGTTGCCATTCCCATTGCCGTTGCCATTGCCATTCCCATTCCCGTTGCCATTGCCATTCCCATTCCCATTGCCATTGCCGTTGCAGCAGCAGCAGCAGCCGTTGCCGTTGCCATTGCCATTCCCGTTGCCATTCCCATTGCCGTTGCCATTGCCATTGCCGTTGCCATTGCCATTCCCGTTGCCATTCCCATTGCCGTTGCCATTGCCATTCCCATTCCCGTTGCCATTGCCATTCCCATTCCCATTGCCATTGCCGTTGCAGCAGCAGCTGCAGCCGTTGCCGTTGCCATTCTCGTTCCCGTTGCCATTGCCATTGCCATTGCCATTGCCATTGCCATTGCCATTCCCATACCCGTTGCCATTCCCATTGCCATTGCCGTTGCCATTGCCGTTGCAGCAGCAGCAGCAGCCATTGCCGTTGCCGTTACCATCCCCGTTGCCATCGCCATTTCCGTTCCCATTGCCGTTGCCGTTCCCATTGCTGTTGACGTTGACTCTCGCAGTGGCATTGCCGTTGCCGTTGCCGTTGCCGTTGCCATTGCCATTCCCGCAGCAGCAGCAACAGCAGCAGCAGCCGTTGCCATTGCCATTACCGTCCCCACCACCATCGCCATTGCCCCCATCACCGCCTAGAATGTGAAGCCACGAAGCCAGCTGTTCCAAGATGCCACCAACACCGCCATTGACACCGCCATTGGACCCGTCCCCACCATCCCCACCATCCCCACCATCCCCGCCATCCCCGCCATCCCCGCCATCAATCCCACCAAAGCTGGTGGCTGTCGGAAGCGAGGCGAGGGGGTCAACAGGCAAAGGCTGTGAAGTGGTGGAGCTGATCAGGCTGGTGGCAGTCTGAGCTGAGGCGAGAGAGTCAACAGGTAAAGGCAAGGGC